ATTCGAGTGCCCCCTCAACCATGGAGAATGGGCATGGGCTACAGCCAAGGCAATGTGCAACTGAAGGAAAATCACATGGCCCCCAACCTTAGACACCTCACACGTGATGGCTGCCCCGATAACTAAAATAAAGAACACTAACAGTAACCTGAGAAAAGGCGAAACAAGACTGTACCATATTGTACTGCTAGAATGCGCATGGCAAATCTGGAAGGCCAGATGCTGGAGAGTCATCAACCCTGACCACCCACAAACCACACTAACCAAAATAAAAAAATGCCCTCTGTGCCGGCCTCAACGATAAACTCCAACAAGACATCGCCCTAACAAACCAGAAAAAGTATGGCCAAAAGGCCCTGCCAGCCAAACTAGTCCTGCATACCTGGAATGGAAACCTTCATGAGGAAGGGAGACTGCCGGATAACTGGCTGAATAGCACCGGGGTTCTAGTGGGTATACCGGACCCTCCGTGACCGAGTCCGGGAGCCCCACACAGCGCCAAACCGGCATTCAAACCACTCCACACTCCATGGGATTCTACCTCCCTGTACAAAAACAGCGCCCGCATATGAACGACTATGGGAACGATGCACGTGATTACCGAATGTGCATGCAAACTTGTGCTAACTCGACGAATACCAGGAAATAGAACACAACTTTAGTACCATTGGAAAGGTGGGAATAAATGGAAATTTATGATACCAAGAACGTGAGAAAACATCCAGAAATGAATGAGATACAAGGACATGAAGTTAGAAACCTGAAAACGCGTGGGAAGACAGCTTCAAGAGGTCCAGAGCCCTAAATAAAATACATAAAAATATGATATCTTCGAGGACGACCTACTATAACAACTGTCATATCCATACAATCCTGACCTCCACTCCGGGCTCCTGGAACTCCGAACCTGACTTCCGGAGTCTTACTTCCCTTCCATCACCTCCTCCTTGCCGACTCCCAAGAGGTTATCCCACCTCCGGCTCTGACACCACCTTCGGTCCACTCCGGGACATTCCGGGTCCGACCCCAACCTCGACACCTTCCAGACGAGTATGCAAAACCTATGCTCCTGACTCCGGACCTCCACTCCAGAATCCTGTTCACATCTCCGTCTCCGGAACCTCCGGTCTTAGCTCCGATCTCGGACTTTGACCCCACCTCCGCTTATACCCATTGTATTGGTTAGCTCATTCCATTTAATTACGTTTGCCAATATTCCGGAGTTTAACTTCCGAGTTCGGACTTTCCGGACTTATGTTGGACCTTGCAACTATTGCATTGCTCCATTCAATTCCGCTATTCTCCCTCATTCCTATTTGGGCTGCTGCTTCCTTTCTATTCAGTCAGCTAGCCATTCCCCACTCCCAACCTCCTTCCTTCCTCCTTGGGCCTTGGCCCTTCACTCCTCCTTTGGGAAACACCATTGAGTCAAACCCTTGACCCTCGGTGTTGTTCCTCTTTCCAGCTCCCTTTGTCTCCTTTCAGAGTACCCTCGCTCCTTTTGATTCCGGACCCCTCCTTATATACAATGTACATAGTAACTTGTAACCTCAGTCCGAAATCGACTTGAATTCCCCCAAGAGACTTTCCCTCTGCTAGATCCGAAATTAGGGACCCCCAGGACAACCAGCAATGGCACAGCGCTCCACCTGAGTCGCTGAGGCCGAGGTCCTTCCATGCTAAGTCTCCGATTCCACTCCGTGTCAGGGGACAGACCCCGGGTCCCCATGACCCCTCTCTACAGTCCACAGTCTGGCCTGTAAACACAGCCCATCTCAGGGCATAGCTACTGTGGGTAAGAAAGTGTATAGATAAATGAAGAGTAGGCTACACTTGCCTACTGTGGGTAAGAAAGTGAGAAGAAGGTTAACTTCTCACTTTCCCACAGTGGCCCCAATATGGCGAAAACTTCCGGGGATACCCGGAAGTCACATGAGGTGGGATCATGCGGCGCGCGGAGCGTGCGGCGCAGGAAGTGCGCGGGAAGTGGAGCGGGTCCGGACGCGGGTCCGGGTCCGGGCTAAGTCAGGGTATGTGCCCTGACACTCCGGAGTCGTCCGAATCTGCATGTTCTAACAACAACGAACAATGCATATGGAGGATTAGGATGTGATAATACAAAGGGGAATCAGGGAATATGAACGAAATTCACAAAAACCACTAAACTACGATGGACCATGGCGGGAATTTTAGGGAACGATATTCTAATGAAGTGGAGAGCTATAATACATTCATTTGAGTAATTCTGTCAGGGCCCGGCCTCGGACTCGGAGGCTCCCTGACCTCAACCCCCATCTGGCCTGTCCTCACACTATGCGGGGCATGAGATGTATAGTAAAAGGAAGATAATATATACACTTGCCTATGTGGGGCATGAGATGAGAAGAAGGGTAAAGGTCTCATCTCCCTGCATGGTTGCTATATAAAGGAATGGGTCACATGCCCACAACTATACAGCTCCTAGAGTTGTGTAGTGTGACCCGGAGGGAACATCCAGGTGGCAGTGCCCAGAGCGTGGGAACGTTCTGGGCGAGTTGCTCGCCCAGAACTGTGGCTGTGACCCGTGGGAACATTCTGGGCGAGCTGCTCGCTCAGAAAGTTCCCATGCTATCCCGTGCGCGCGCGTGTACACAACACACAAAGGCAACAACAAGGCAACAGTCAAAGAATAAAGGGGGTAAAGTAGGTGGGGAGTCCGGGGCACCCTAAGGCAGGGTGCTGAACCCTGACAAATTCTTGACTACTAGCAACTTTTTCTTTCGGTTTTAAACCTGAATAATTCACTCATTTACCATTTCAAGTCTCATTTTAACTAAATGTCACTGAATAAAAATGGAATAAATCAGCTGAAGGTCTCAGCACAGCTGTATGCATAGTAATGTGAAGTTTGAATTCAGAATCACTGAGTCATAGCAAATTTAATGGTATATATAAGGAATTTGAAATAGGTAACTGCGACAAATGCAGCACAGTCAAGTTCTAATTAACTATTAAAATAGCTTAGGTGAGGGAGGACAATAAGGATTCTAGGCGCAGTCTGACCGCAGTAGAACTATAGCATGAAAATTTCATTTTTTATTCAGTTTGAGAAAAATACACTGTAAATAAATCCTGTAAATACGAGGTAGAGCGTGAAAAAGGAAGGCGACCCAAGGAGTATAAAAGGGAGACCCTTTCTGCGACTTTTCACCCCCCTTAGAGAAGTAAGAAAATAGAGTATTATTTTTCTCAAGCATTTCTGGTTGTCACTCCAGCACGAAAAAGTGATATACAGTTAAGATTGCCACTGTAGTAAAAGGCAGCAATAAAAGAGAGAAATATTAAGTAGATATTTCAACAGGAGAGCTGGTTAACACCCCAGATTTCAAAGTGTAAACACAAAACAGTTACTTTGCTACTGTTAAAACAAGCAATAAAATAAGACAAAAATAAATAAAAAAGACTCAAGGGACACTCCAGACACAATCCAAATCCATTAACTGAGTAGAATCTTTGAAACTTCACCAAGTAGAAGATTTAATTCAAGTTAAATTTCAAGTTAAATTCCAAATTAAAACAATGCTACACAGAATTACACCTAGACAAATTAAGACATTTCAATAAAGAAACAGCTCCACAGGGCTCGGTTTATCTGTAAGTCAATTCCCAGAAACTTTAAGACTAACCCATAAAATTAGAATTAGCCAAAACACTTGGATTGGTACTATATTTACAATAAATACTACTAGTACACTTCCCCATCCTAACTAAAGAACCAGGGAACAGCTTGGTGGTGGTCTCGTTTGAACCTCCCAACTGACCTTCCTTCGTTCTCTCCTTCAGCACCAATATGTGACATAGATATTAGAATGATTTGACCTACAGAATACATGACACTATGCAACTCCAATGCCTGCAAACCTCAAGTTACCTAAGCTTGATTCACCCGAAGTTAACACTCAGATTTACCAATCGATGCTTGGGTCACTCATGTATGCTGCCATTAGTACATGCCCGGACATCTGCTTTGCCGTCGGTCTATTAGCCCAACATGCTATAGCTCCTGGAGAAGACCACCTTACTGCAATGAAAAAGGTCTACCGCTACCTCAATGGAACCCGAGACGTTGTGCTCCGGTATGATGGTAGTAAATTCAAAGACCCGGTGGGATACTCAGACACAGACTGGGCTGGAGATCCCAGCACCCAGTGCTCCCTGTCTGGCTATTGCTATATCTTCTATGGCGCTGCCATATCTTGGGCCTCGAAAAAGCAGCCTACAATTGCTCTGTCAAGCACAGAAGCAGAGTATATGGCAATGACTCACACTGGAAAGGAAGTGGTCTTCCTCCAACATCTCTATGGCGATGTTGGCATCCCTATCCAGACTCCACTCTATCTCCTGGTAGACAACCAATCAGCAATCCAGATCGCTGAAAACCCTATATTCCACGCATGGACGAATGTCAGGGCACGGCCTAACCGGCTACCCTGACTCCCTATGCCGGAAGGGAGTTGCCATAAGACGATCTGGAGTGATCCAAAGAACGCAGGTAATCTCACTTAGCTCTCGCTTAGCTCCCACTTCTATCTTCCATCCACATGTCACCCCTTTCCCACACCTCGCTTACGATTATCCAAATGAATAGCTATCTTTTCATGTCATCATTCTATCGGTTATCTTCTATCTCGTTGTAGCCGCACTCTAGTGGGTAGCGGTACCCATGTATATACAGTTGAAACCGTGGTAGGCCATACCTGAGATAACACATAACCTGCCATTACCCATAGGAATTTCTGGGAACCAGTATGGTTCCTATTATCTAACCCATAAACCCGCCATCCCCCATAATGCATAATGTGTTGGGAAATTTTTATATTGCAATCTCGCGAAATTTGATCCGTAACCCATAAGTATGAGTGAGATTGACATGTAAATATTGAAAGGTTATTAACAGTTATTAATGAGAATGATGAGACTACATAGTGTTGTGAGCACAGAGTACTGTCAGGCAACACACCATGCCAATCCTCCCTCCAATCACCCTGTCTTCTCTTGAGCACGGCCTTACTGCTCTTAAAAGTGATGCTCAACCTCTGATAGACAAGCTAAAGGCTAAACTCGCGTCCAGAATATCAATTACCAATGAGGAGGAGACATGGTTGGATGGTGCCGCAAACTTCACTGATGAGACATTGCTCATTGCTGAGCTTCAACACGCAAAAAACTTCCAGATTGCCTTTGAATCCCTTTCGGATAACCGGAAGGCAACTGCTCAGCGCATGCAAGCTGCAAGCAGTGCCAAAAATCACAACTCGGAGGCAGTTGCAGATGCTGTGCCAGAGACTGGACGCAAATTCAACTCAAAAGGTGTGTTGAACAGGTTGACAACTTGGAAACTTGCATTCAGAAAGCTATTCCAGATACAAATGAAGAACCACCAGCAAAGAAGGGGTCGGGCTTCACTCATAAAGAGATTGCCACACTTGGACAACGTATCGAGATTCTCAATTGGCATCACAAGAATGGAAAGAACCAAACCAAGACTGCCAAGCATTTCAACCCCATTTATCCCAATCTCAAAATCAAGCAGCCTCTTGTCTCTGTTTGGGTGAAGGATGAGGCCAAGCTTCGCAAAAAATTTCAAAGGTCGGACAATGCCGGGAGGTTCAAGCGCATCCAGCATACAACATTTCCAATGGTCACAGAAATGTTGGAGCTATGGACTGTTGCTGCAGAGGAAAAGGGGGTTGTCCTCACCAGAGATGTACTCTGAGCCAAATTCAAGCAGTTTTCTGACCGTGCTGGTATCACACCGGAGGATCAACTCAAGATGAGCGGCCTCCGCCTGTGCAAGCATCATGGTGAAGCAGGCTCAGCTAGCCCTGAAGATGTTGCTGCTGAGCGGATCCGTCTGCGGGAGCTCTTGTCCGGATATCCCCTCGAAAATATTTTCAATGGTGATGAGACGGGACTCTATTACTCGTGAGTGCTAAACTAGCCCTTCCTCAAGCAGTCCCCAATAGATCTCCTAGAATGCCACCAGACAAAGGCTTAAGTAAGGGCCCAACCCCGGGATTGAGAGGAAATAAAGCACGCTTGACATATTTTTTTGTCACTAATACCACTGGTTCTGATCGATGTGATCCCCTCATCATTGGCAAAGCATTCAAGCCTCGATGCTTCAAGAAAAGGACTGGATATGAGCTTGGATTTGACTACAAGAACAACGCTAAGGCCTGGATGACCTCGACAATTTACTCTGCATACCTCAGACAGTGGGATGCCGAACTCCGTGCTCAAGGGTGGCATGTTCTCTATCTACATGATAACTTTTCAGGCCACACCATCCAAGACAGCTTGACTAACATACAATGTGAATTCTTTGCGCCAAATCTGACTGCACATGTGCAACCAATGGATGCTGGGATCATCCGCTGCTTCAAAGCACATTATCGGAGCCAGTTCATTAGTCGCGCAATTGACCATTATGACTCCGGAGTAACACCCAGCAAGATCTATGACATCGACCAGCTCGAGGCAATGCGCTTAGCACAGACAGCTTGGATGAAGGTCACCTCAGACACAATCCACCACTGTTGGGCAAAGGCCGGAATCCTGCCATTGTTCAAGCAGGCTGAAAGAGTGGCCATGCCTCTGTCAATGCTTCTTAATTCAGAGAGACCTTCATTGCCTGGCAGCAGCAGAGCAGGAAGTGGGCCAGGGTTGGGTGAGAGGGATAACTTGGGCACCGCGGACCCAATTGCCGCTGCCAGTGCTTGTGTGGAGGAAGGTTTGGATGCTCTCAAGTCAGCTGGGGCCCTCCACAAGAGAAATAGAATGAGTATAGCGGAACTGGTAAACAATCCACTGGAGACCACTCACATTAATGATGTCTCTGACAATGACATCTTTGATGCCGTGTCCGAGGCATGGGAACATGGGGACAAGGATTTGGCAGGGGCCCACGATGCTGATGATTCCGGTGATGATACGCCAGTTGTCTCACATCAGGAGGCTCTTCAGGCAGCGCTTTTGCTAATGACTTACACCAAACAAATACATTCCTCGTTTGCGCGGAAGATGGAAGTCATTTTAGGTCAGTTTGGACGCTGTCATATCCCGGAACCCCGACCCCGCGCACTCCCACCACATCACACCTTCCTAACAACTTCGCCAACCCCTACACCATGCCTCCCCACTCCCCAAGTCACCTTCCCTCCTGACTGTCTCAGCTCCGGTCTGGTTGCGGCACACCAAACCTTGGCCACTCCCATCCCGGAACCTGGGTCCCGAGTCGGAACATTCGGAGATCCCGGATTTGCTCCGATATCCTGACGGACCTCCGACATCCCGTGACATGCCCTTAAACCATTCCTCCACCCACTTCATTTATTGGAGTCACCCAACATCCTTCGGATACGCAACTCCGCTTTCGGAGCTACCCGCATCCTTCGGTGATCTCCCTCACGTTATCACTTATTAGTCATCTTCCATTCTTAGCACGACCACCTTCTTACTACCATTCAGTCGGCTAACCCCCCTTACCCATTTGTCTTCCCCATTCATTTTCCGGCCTCCAACTCCGCCCTCCTTGGCCCGACACCTCGGTTCCCCGTTTTAGATATCGTTCGGAACCTTTCGGTGCCTCTCAGTATCATTCGGTACCTTTCGGTGTTTTCCCCATTTTGTCATTTCGGGCTTTGACTAAAGTCCTCCCCATCCTCCTTTATAAATACACGTAGATTAGAACCTGTAGTTCCTCAGTTCTAATCTCAACTAAAATGCCACCCAAAGTCCCTCTGAGTGAATCCTGTCCCTGTTCTACAAGACACCTCAGACATAAGAAATACAAGGACTAACTGAGACATAACGGAGGCACAGTGCTCCCTCCGAGTCGCTGAGGCCGCATCCTTCTTAGAGCCTCTTGTACCATCCAGCAGAACCGGGCTCCCTGAGAAGCTTCAGTTCACTACCGGAGCCCTCGGACCCCCCTCTAGTTGAGCCCCACCTGCATTCGGACTCACACATTTACCCCCTCTTCCACAACTTGGGTTTTTAACAGACGCGAGACCCGTCACCAAGTTCAGTCATCACTCCGCAGCAGTACACTTGATTCATACTTCAAAAAGGTTGTGTAGAAGGGCTTTATGTAGATACATAATCTTAATGTTTAGACCTTGCCGATATTTGAGGTACCGCATAACCTGTCATTACCCATACTAAAGTCTGGGAACGCAAGGGTATGGGTTATCACAGTTTCAACTGTAACCCTTATCTCCGCTGAGGATGGCACCTCAGCGTTAACAATGACTAGGATTCTCGGGAACACCCTCATCATCGTGAGCTGACATGCAGTCCCTGACAACGAAACACATAGAGGTTAGACACCATTGGATCAGAGAAAAGCAGGAGGATGGAAGATTGGCAATCAAGTACATACCAACAACTGATCAAGTTGCAGACATCTTCACCAAACCACTCAATGCCAAGAAATTTGTGAAGTTTAGGGATGCATTGGGGTTGGTTTCAGTGGGCGCACGCTGAGTGGGCATGTTGGAGTGCAGCACGTGTTCTGGAGGTTTCTGACCAGGTGACTTTCACCTGATCTGTAAATGAATACTTTTCCCTTTTCTATTATCGCGGAATTATCCGCTACCGACTATATGGACATACCCGCTCTTTCTATTCATTTCCTTTTTCCTCAGTTCTCCACACTATTCAGCTTGAGGCTGAGGTCAGTACTACTTTCTTTCTTTCTGATTTCCCTTCATATCTAAATGTGTATTATCTTTAGTTAAACTACGCTAGGTAATGTTAACCAGTTCTCTACGCTATTCAGCTTGAGACTGAGTTAAACTACGCTAGTATTTTCACATATTCTGCATCAGCTCCTCCAGTGTGGGAAAACCTGAAGAGGCAAGAATTGAGGTTGTGCAATGTTTTCGGACTGTTGTTAGGCCTGGGGTTCCTAGGGCGGCATGTGCAAACTCTGCAACTCTTGCACCCCCTAGCCAATACAGTACAACACTTATCAAGTGTTGCTCTTCCGTGTATTCTGGATGGTAAGTACCCAAAGTTGCCTTTGTGAGAAGCTGAATGATTTCTCTAATTCTGTGCCTCTTTCAAAGGGCAGACTGCACTAGAATATTGATGCATGGAGCATCACACTGGCTTACAGCCATAGCAAACTGCTTATTGTCAGGGCATGCCCCGACATGCCCTGCCCGATCCCCGCTCCGCACCGCTTCCCCCTCTCCCTCTTCCTTCCTTTCTTTCTTTCTTCCTTTCTTTCTCTTACATGGACCACCTTTCCCACTGCTCAATGTATCACTGGCGCTGTAGGTGGGATAATCGCCCACGCGCAGCACCGGCTCAGATACCCATTTCCACGATTAGAAAATCCCTTCCATTCATGCGACAACTCGATACGGATTCGGTATCTAAAAATAGTCCTAATTCGTACAATTCTGACGATATCAAGAACGTCCCAATCGGTGGAGAATTGATGGAGTTCTATGTTGGGCAAGTTAGGCACGGGCATGTGCAGGCGTGGGAATCTCAAGCGGCAACCCAGAATCCCTGCCCCACTCATTCCCACGGCGTCTAATAAATTGGTGAAAATGCTTATCGGCTGTGTGAGAGTTATCTCCGGCTACATTTCCAATTTAGGCTTTTAATTCCGCAAATCCATTGAGATATCGCTTATTTTCTTTTATTTTCATATTTTGCCATCATTTCAGATATTGATTGATATTCTTTTATTGTTACTGTTACCTTTTTTATTATTTCGCCTAATAAGGTATGCAGGTGCCATATGGTACCAATATTTCCCATCAATTATTCTAAAAATAATTGTTCCTTATATCCTGTACATACCGGATTCTGGAAAAGAAGTTCTCCCCTCCCCCAATTTTCTCTAAGGTGCTAGGACGCACTAGAGAGGGTGTGAGTGTGTGGAATTCCAACAGTAGGAATAAGGGCAGTGATCTAGCTCACAACGAGTGAGTAGTGGACACTGAGCCCGGACCTTGCAGAAATCCCGGAGAACCCACATGGAGTTTAAGGATCGAGAGAATAGCGAGTTTAGTCAAGAAAGTAGGATTTTGGAGAGTTTGGCCCCATGAGCTTAGTCAGCATAGAGAGCCATGAGCCCTCTTTCAGCATGCATGCCCATTTCCCCTCCTGTATCTTACCACCCCTATATCACCGCCACCGCCGCCACACTTGCCCTGCACCCACAGCAGACCCTCTCGGGATCTCCCACAGAGGCACCCAGAGAGCTGTGGCTGTGTGCGAGGGTGACGTGGCACACCCCACATGATCGATCCCGCATGTATATAATAACAGCTGGAGTGGGAACTGAAGAAGTAGCCTTCTTCTCACATTTCCACTTCAGACTAAGTGGTCAGGGATGCTCACCCTGTGACGGGATCACCGCTGCACACAGCCGCTATTCGTCCCACCGAGTCCCGCACGCCGGGACCTCGCCGCTTTCGGAGCTGTCCCTGACACTTATAGTCCAAGTTTGATGTAGTGAGTGCTTTGAGTTACACTGGGTGTTGAGGCAACCCAATTTGAGTTCATTTATTTGATGATCTTTTCACCTGAGCAACTCGACCATCCTCCTCATACTCAAATGCTTGTATGGGGTATTCTCTGGGATTCCTTGGATGATATGGTCTTGGATGCATACAATGGGAGTCAGCTGCCGTAAATTTCAGCACCCTCAGCAGGGTCTCCCATCTTCCATGCAGGG